AACCCTGTTACAACCAACCAACTTGACCTCAAAATTCTCAAAATACCCCACACAAATCCAAACTCTTATCGAGCACCGTACCTCCACACACATCAATCAATTGACCATTCCTAACCTTATCCAACACCATCTTTGCATCACCCATAAAAATTATGAATTTTATCCCCTTAGCCAGGCACCACCAAATCGCATCACGGAGGGCAAGAAGCTTCACCATGAAAGGATCAGCAATGCCTCCATACAAAGTCATCGTTGTTGCCACCACTATGCTTGATGCATCCTGCAAAACCTAATACCTAGTGTCCTTTCCCAAACTCTCTCAAGGTGTTTTCCTCTCTAAAAACTGCCCAAAACCCTAACTTTCTCACTCTAGGTCGGCTCCTCAAGCAGCTTCTCTATTTATAGAGTTTGGAAATTTTGGGCAAGCTCACGGCTGAGGGGTGGAATATCACGACCGTGACATGAGCGTAATGCACGCGATCTTGCAATGCAGTCATTTTGGCTGATCAGAACAAGAGATCGGGCCCTGGAGTTTATGACCGTGATCTTTCTCGCAGCTTCAGATAACTGGGGTTGTGCCGCCTATCGAGACTTTATGTTCTCCTTTTGAAGCCTCTTGCTAAAGTTTACGGTTGGGAGCCCCGAGATCGTTGTCTCAATCCTCCTCGTCCCGCCCGCGATCTTGTGTTTGACTTTGAGGGTTGAGTTTCTTGGTTGTGATCATGCTCCTTTGGCTGTAAACTCTGTGTTTGCACCCTTTTTCTTATACATTAGCCTCATTTTCTTCCCTTTTTGCTTGTAACATCAAAAGGGACCTAAAATGACATGATATGACAAAATGAAGCGTTCTAGGCTACAAATAACTTTATATAGATATAATCATGCTCAAAATGACATAAAAGCACCTAATAAATGAAGGATAAACAACACCATTTTGGGTGTTATCAGAAGGCCCTGTACTTCTCCACCAAATCCATTTGCCTCTTCAAATCTGTCACTAGATGATACTACGACTTAACTGAGTACTACCTAGAGTGATCTCCCGTCCAGAATTATCAATGCTAGATCGTCTTGATAGGCAAAGAATAGCCATGATGTCACGTACCATATCATCCTCAAAGAGTTTCCGCAACCAATCCATACACCAAACTCCCTAATTATGATGGATTAAGAAAACCATCGGTTCGTGACACTCCACCAATCCTCGAATTGGGGCATGAAGGATGTGGAAGAAGGGAGGAATATGATTAGTTGCTAAACTTTTGGATAGTTAGCATCGTACTAACTACCTTTTCAACCATTAAATCTTAAAATAATCTAATGCTCTATATTTTAAGAGGGTCGCTATGGCAAAAATCCACACTCAGCCCTCAGAACGATGGAACATTTATTCCTTCACTTCCAGGTAGCGATGGCATTATGATAAGGGTATGGGCTCATTATTACCCATCAAGGTATGTCGCATGCAAACTTTACGTTATTCTTCCGGCTGGGTGGAGCACGATGACTCCCCTATGAAAATAATGCAATTGGCCTCCTTGCTTTGGACGATTTGGAAATTGAGAAATCGGGTAACCTTTGAGTGTATTTAGTAAACAAGAGTGGTGCTTTTGCACAAATATAACTTTCAACTGCGGGGATGGGATGGTTTGGGCCGATAGAACTAGACGCGAGAATTCCTTCCTCTGCCTCCCAGTACTTTTCAGCAGAGGATAGGTGGTTAGTTATTTTGTTTTGTCAATGGATCTATTTGCGTCGGGTCACATGGGACGGGTGGTTTCGTGGTGCAGGATAGGGTAAGGGGTCGTTCTCTTTGTGTCGGGGTTCTTGTATATAGGGTTGGTGCGACGTAATTGGTGGAGATGGTGGTGTTTTGTGAAGCTATATGTTGGTGCTCTTTACTAGCTCTAGAAGGGGTTGTGTTCCAGGGGGATGCTCAGGTGATCATCGATAAGATTCGAAGCAATACCACTATGGAAGCGAGAGGTGGAGTAGGAGATTAATGACTAGAAGCTAAAGTCTTGTGATTTTTCTATTTGATTAATAGGTAGGTAGAGCAATCAGGTGGCCCACTTGGTAGCTAAAAAGGCCCTTTCATTGTGTCCTATGACTATTTCGGATTTTGATTTTTTGCTTTTGGTAGATAATTGTGATAATGCAAGTGAGTAATTGAAAATAAAAGGGTTAATAACATTTTATACCCCTCTACTATTACAAATTAACAAATGTGCCCTTCTATTGTTATTTTACACAAACATACCCCTCTATTATTGCGACATAACAAATATAGCCTTAAACCTCTATTCCGTCAGTGTACCGTCAAAAGACTACCGAAATGACTATCACGTCCTTTATTGTCAACTATTGAAGAATTAATTGACTACCTTCCCTTTTGATCCAAAAAAAAATTGACTACCTTCCTTTCCAAACCATCAGGAATTCCCCTCCCAAATTTATCCCACCGCCATCACCGGACGGAATTGATTTAGACCCGTTGCTCCCACGTCTTCGCTTACTATCCCAGTCCCAGCAACTCCAAACCAACGCCAAAGCAGTTGCATCCCGCTAGCTCCTACTCTATCTCCGTCGCTTCCCCTGGCGCAACCTCCACGCATCGACAGCAAAACCAGCAACAAAACCTAGCACCTCCTCCGCTGCTTCTTGATCCAAACCCCTAGAACAGCCGCATCTCGACCGATAAAAGGAAGACGATGCTTAAGCTTCCCTTTCGAACTTGTCGTTTCATATATGCTATCAAAACTGACTAACATAATCCCCTCCTCTTCCCATTCCATCGATGGTTGTTCTAGCCCCGAAACCTAACAACAATATTAGGAAGGATCTCTATTTGATTCGAGCAGAACTGCTGCCACCACTGGTCAAATTGCGAAAGTGTTGCGAGCGAAGACTACTTCGCAAAGAACAACGCGAGAAGGGAAGATAATCAAAACAATAATTAAAATTTTATTTATTTAATTCCATTTGTCTGCTAGAAATTAATTTTATAATAATTAATATAGAAGGGTAATTTAGTCATTAACATGTCCTTTAACGGTAAACTGACGGAAATGGTGATGAAAGGGTATATTTGTTACACAGTAATGCTAGAGGGGTATGTTTGTGCAAAATAATAATAGAAGGGTACGTTTGTTAACTTGAAATAATAGAGGGATATAAAATGCTATTAACCCAAAATAAAACTAAATCACTAATAATACCATTGAAATCTGTAAATCAAAACTGGAAACAATGAAAATGCTACTACTGTAAACCATCAAAACCATTATTAATATAATCAGTAATGTTTCTATGTGATTTACCGTAGTACTTTTCGTGCTAGAACGTCGGTTATAAAGAGGAGAGAGAGAATATAAATTTTAAATTATTTATTTTAATTTTTTGAAATACCAAACAGCCCTTTATTACTCTCTACCATCATATTCAACTTAAATATAATGGATGATGATTAGCGGGTAATGGGTGGGCATGTGTTTATCACTATCCAACCCGAATTCGCCCGATTATACACACGCATATGTATTTTGTCTAGAAATAATCATTATTTTTCTCTAACACATTTTGTATTTAGCATATAAATATAATATTTTCATGAAATTGTGTAGTTTTAATTAATTTTCTTCATCCTAGTGAATTATTGACGTACTTTTTCTCTTACGTAATGTGAGAATACGTGTGAATGTTAACATATTGGTTCGAGTTATGAAGATAAATTATTACCCATGGATAACCATGGATACCCAGAACCCGAACGGGTATGGGTATGGACATGGTTTTGATTTTCGACCCGTTTCACATGTGGGTATGGGTATGGGTAAAACCCGAACTACTATGGTTAGGGTAACGTATATCCACTATCCGCGCCCGACCCGACCCATTGCCATCCCTAATCGTACATTATTCGCGATTGAAATCCTTAAAATCTTTTTATTTTCAATGATGTTATTATTTTAAGGTCTACGTTGAATTGCTTGAATTTCGACCAAATCAAACTGAGTTAAAGGATTAAGATCAATTTTTTGGGTCAGATTTACCTATTTCTCCCAAAATAGTAAAACATAACGCCCTTTTTTCCTTATACTCTATCAACATCATCCAGTTCTCTCTCACTAGCCACCATTGGCCATCACCAATTCACGTCAACTCATTAATCATCACCACTTTCCAACATGAACCTTGAGAATTAGAACATTTAACCTTGAGAAATTATCATTTTAAGTGTTATATGTCTTTGTGTTATTCATGATTTGACTTATTAATATTACTTCGTGTTTGCTTTTGTATGGACCTTAAAATCCTATGATTTTATGATTAAGATTGTACCCCTATTTTCAATTTTACATAAAATATCGACATTGACTACATTGCATGGGAGGACTGAAAACGTTATACAGGTTGACCATTTATAAGAATTTAGAACGTGGAAGAAGTGACACAAGCCCGAAGCCAATTTTTCAAGGAAACAAAGTTTCTCAAGTAATGAAAACAAAAATGACCATATCATACCATCCTATCATATTCCTTATCCATGTCCATCTTAAGAGTCGTGAACCCATTCTTACCCACCCTTTTATTTTTCGAATAATGCATGACTTTATTTTCAATAAGGACATTATCAACAATATGCTTTTCCAAGACAAATCAGTTTTGTCCATATAAGATAATCGATAGTAGAGATCATGCTAGTCTCTCAACCAGGATTTTAGCAATCACTTTATAAAAAAAACCATTAGAGACTAATAGTCTGAAACTTCTTCATATGTTCCACCTTTTCTACCTTTGGTTTGAGAACCAGGCAAGTATGATTACAATTTTTCAAGAGAGAATGTGTAGGAAAGAATGACTAACTGCGTCCATCACCTATTGCCCCACAATCACCAAACTACGCCATTTGAAGTTGTTAACACTCTCAAAATTCATGACAGTGACATGGAATGTCACTTGCACATACTCACAATTCCTTATACCACTTATATGTCCCCAGTTCAATGCTTTCCTTCTTTGTCCTTAGCTTTCTTTCTCTCACATGTCACGGTTATAGTAGTCTTCCTCATTAGAAGTTTGTATGATTATTATCCATAAACCTCTTTAGGAGTCATCTGTTCGATAATCACATAAACAAAGTACAATGAAAGATTTGTTAGTTACACCAAAGCTTTATGCCCATTTTGTATGAACTCCTTCTCAACCGATCCAAATAGGCGAAGAGAAAACCCAAAAAATAGATGCATTTTGCAAACGAACAGGAAAAAAGAAAACGTATGACCTTCTACACGGTAACCTTGTAGCATGTCGACTCAATATATATAAAACCCATTTTTCTCACTAGCTTAGGATCGGGTCGAAAATATTATAGTTTAGAGAACATGTGTATCATCATGTTAATGGGATCCAACCAAAGAAGATTCAACAAAATGAAAGTCCAACCCACCAACCATATCACTGAGACGCACTGCACACATCAAAAACTTGTGACAAAATAGGAACGAATTTGTCCACCATGATGTCAACGAGTGAATAGAAAGCCTGGCTCTACTGATGAGTTAGGCAGCACCAACTAACAATGCATAAAAAATTTCAGTACCATGAAAAGATGAAAAACGTTCTGCACAGGTTTTGCCATGCTTTTTTCTACCCGATTCAGCGATCCTAGTTTATCCACAATTCGCATGATTTTCGAAGTTAGCATTCCATCTCTCGTGTATATGCAAAAGTAATCCATGGCCATTCTTACATGTTTACTACATGGTTTCACATTTCACGATCTACAAGCTTCAACTGGTTTCACATGTTCAGGAAATATAGAACATAAAAACCTTGATTGTTAAAGCAGTCCGTAATAAGACCCATTGACGTTTACCCTTTTGCGTTTAGTCGTAGAGCCCTTCTTCAAGCCATATGTCAACCAAGAAGTCCACCATCTCCTACAAAGAAGTCATTGATGAGTCACAATTAGAACGATTCAGAGTGACATGACTATGCGTGTGTTGTAGATCAAGGTTAGGGAGAACTTACAGCCAAAGGTATTGGCTGTTGGAAAGGTTCTTGAGAGCATAGCAAGTCTTCATATGTCGTTGTCCAACTGCAAATAAAAAATTTAAAACAACAAAAGCTTGCCATGATTACTAAACTCAAACATTCATGAATGAAGAATTGTGTGAGACTACTAAAATAGCCTCCACCCAGGATAGGCATTACATAACTCTAGGATTCTTTTATGTGTAAAATCATTCCAAGAAACAAACAAGTGGGGCAGTTAAATTTTTTGGATTTTGACTTCTCCAACAGCATGTCCTTTGTCTTGCCACCACCAAGGGAAATAAACACCCACTATAATGGCTCAACATTGGAACAACTAAGAATTTGGAAAAGCAAATATCTTTCCCAACTTCAGCAGAAATGGAGAAGAAAAATGGATGCATGTACTGAAGCAATTTTGAGGGGTGATAAAAGTACCTCATAATTTGTTCTCTGGGCATTCTTTTTGACCGTTGAGAAGATTCACCAACCCACTGCTTCCTTCTCTCATGCCAATCAATTTCAGCTGCATCATATTACGTTGATGTGATTAGTCTTAATAAATAAAAAGTAACTAGCAACTCGCATTGCATAATAAATATGGAGCAACATCCACAGTGTTGAATAAATGTTTACATCTCCAATGCCACTTTAGCAGACCACCTTATCAAATAACAAAAACCTTAAACAAAACCTAAATTGGATTTTGAATATTCACATTGAAATTCTTCGAAAATGGTAATTCATCTGCATGTTATGAAATGTGTCTGTAATTGCTTACTAAGATACTAGGTGAACACACCAATGATGGCACAATGTAAATAACAGAATTAGTCTCTTTAGGTGTCTATGAGAGCATGGTTGAGGGGCACACTATGAAGGCTTAGTTCGGTCAAGGTTAAACAAACTCGAAGGCATAAATCATAGAAGACACATGAATTCTTAGTTCAGAGATCTGTAAGTTATTAGCATTTGTGGTGGTAAAAGCAAAATGTTTTTTTATTCCCAAAGTCAAAGCAAGCTTCTGTTGGACTTAGCCATATAATATGTAGATGGTAAGGATTGCTTTGCTAGCCTTCAACTATCCAATACATATACACAAGATCTAGTTTCCGGTAGCAGTGAAAGTACCGTGGTTAACAAACCCAATTTCCTCTGCAGACTTGTCTTTCCTAGGATCATCTGCATTCCCCAAGTGATCCTTCTTATGGGAATGTGGCTTATTGCCATCGGTTTCCATCACCTTTCTACCATTCACCATTTCCCTCAAAACTGCTATCACAAAAAGGGTAAGCGACCACGTTAAAAGAAAACCCTTCACTCTGGTAATAACGAAGAGGAAAACAAGAGGTCTTGCCTGCAAACAACACCATAGAGCAATAAACTAGACTCCCCTAAAAGAAAAGAAGATATTTTAAACTAATTGGCAGGTCAACTCCATCAATTTAAAAAATCTCTTTACTTTCGAAGTCCACCAAAATCACATGCAAAATCACATGCCCTGGGGGCTTATCTTGGATAAAAAAAAAATCCCCACTTGAGAGGGCAAATTAAAGAGAAAAAAGGAATCTTCTTTTCTAATAAACAAACAGAACCATGATCTTGATTAAATCCAGGATTCATAAATTTAAAGGAAGAAAAAGAGAACAAAATCTTTTTACCCACAGAAAGGGGGAAAACAGGACGACAAGGCTCTTAACCTGTGTACGGTAAATATCCAAACAGCGAAGAAGGCAGGAGAATCAAGGCAGCTTTAGCCGCGATTTCAATTTTCCACTCATGTCGAGAGAGCTACTGGTTCAGGGTAAGATTCAGTTCCTACCCCCGTCCGGTTTTGTGCTTTGGTTTTCTTGTGTTCTGCGGAGAAGAGAGAGAGAGAGTGATGGTGAAGATTCGGGGATTAGAGTGTTGGTGTGAGAATGAGAGAGAGGAAGCGAGTTGTAAAATTTTCTTTTTCAAACAGGCAGGTGTAAACAGTAGATGTGAAAATTTGTTTTTAAAAAATTTGTGTGGTCATAAATTTTTTTAAATCATAATTAATTAGTTCTTTTTATTCAAATTATTTTAAATTTTACCTTAAAACAAAGGGGGGAAATCTAGTGAAGAAAAATGAGGATTAAAAAGAAAAAAAGGAAAATGGGTTAAATCATAGCTTGCCAGCTTGGGCCCCAATACTTAATAGGCTGGGGTTAAAGGTTTTGTTGAAATTTTGTTTAACATTGTTATTTCTTATATAAAATTCTGAAGTTGTTCTTCACCTGATCAACAGTATCATTTATAGCGGAAACTTATAAATACAATGCCAATTAAAAAAATTCCTGGCCTTAGAGTGTTTTTTGTTTACTGATGTGGTTGCTTATTTAGGCGGGGTTTTACCCATCTTTTCCTCTCTATCGTCGACCGCTAGTTATCTCCCTACCTCTTTCTCTTTCTATCCCGCAATCGATTCCATATCCCCCATCTACCCTAATCCATTTTTCGTCGGTTCTCTGAAACTGTATAGAGGGTTTATCTTGTGGATCAGCCACCCCATTACATCGACGCTGCTACATTGGCAAGTAGATGGTCCGCTCACTACATTCTTACAACTGGATTTTTGGCTCCTCGTCTTCATTTCTTCCTAGATGGCCATCGCTGCGTTCCGTTCAGTGATTTCCAAAATGTATATTTGGGGGCACGTCTGTTCATTTCTTCGTAAAGGGCTAGCGTCTCCTACAACGGTTTGGAATTCTACAGACCGAATTTCAGGAACCTGCAAGTTGTTCCCTCGAACAAACTGTGAAAGATTTGTTAGAGGATGTTAGGGGTGGGTATTAGGGTATACCCGTACCCGTCCCTTTTTTTAGGGTTATGGGTACCCAAATAACCGTAATTTTTTTTACAGAATGAGACTTGGGATCAATAAATTCTACAACGGGTAACCACAGGTTGCCCTTTAATACCCGTTGGATATTACGGGTACCCATACTATCGCCCATTATAAGTTGACTGCTATGAAATGTCGAATCGGCCAGTGAATTCAACAAAGTAACTACATCTCAAGCATCCTCAGTCGTAACTAATCCAGTGCCTTCATGAAAAGTTGACAACTAACAAAATTAAGTTTTATACAGCAAAAGGAAAAACTAAATGGCACAACAAATATGTCGTGTAATAATGAAAAAACAACATTCATTAACCAGTACCATATAATTCCATTAAAGCGAGTGTTTTCCTAGCAAGCATGATACCGTTTCCTTCAAAAAGAAGGATGTCCCCAACTTGAAGAACTGCAATTAGAAGATACCAGAGTGACATATTTAAAATTGGTAGATCCAGACTCTAAACGAGATAATTTGCCACTAATTTGCCTTCTTCCTTCTGTCAACAACGATTTACCATCATGTTTGAAATTATAAAGCTTCGACGCCAACCCCTTAGTATCCCTCCAAGCTTGAAGCCCATTTGTTCTCTCTTCAAGTGCGGCCATTATAGCCGGTCGATGCTTATTTTCCAACTCATGCAATCTTGTTTCATTTACATTTTGGAAACTCATGCTAGCTAATAGTACAAGTTATGAATTACCCGTGGCCCGTGGGTACCCGTTATCCATCCCGTATGGGTAATGGGTACATGTTAAATCGTATGGGTTTGAGACACGTGATGAAATTTCTCTCCAAATAGGACTAGGTACCCGTTTCAAACGGGACGAATACCCAAACCCGTCTCATTGTCCACCCTAAGAAGTTTGTTGTTGTCTCTGCCGCCTCCGCCTATTGACACTAGTCATAGCTGTTCTCAACCACCCACCGTAGTCTTCCCCTGAGATTGGCGTCTCATTCAACCTCATCGGCATCGATCACTTAATTTGCAACGAACACCACCCATAACCAAGTAAGCTCCCTCTGATTCATCTTATTCGTCTCATTCTTTTAGCAATAGTTGTTTAGGTTTCTATGCATTAAGAAATTAATGATTAGAAATATGCCCCTGATGAGAATGTTTTTTTGTGAATTGGGATTGCAATTTTCCCACCTATGTGCCTTTAGGGCTTGTACAAGCTGGATAGCTTTTAATCTAAGGAGACTCTTCATTATAGGTAGTCCAAACCATCTACTTGGGTTATCAATCGAGAACTGGATGTCCCTCCCTCGGCTATTGATTTCAACCCAATAGTGAAGGTTATCCCCGTTCTCGATTTATGTTGAGTCCTTAGATTAGAGTTTATAGGTAATTTGATTTTGCTAATGCCGCATGGTTTCCTAATTCTAAAATGAAATCGAGAGGGCCAAATTTGCTGCTAACTTGGTTATGGGATTACATATGTATGCTAACCCCCCTAACTACTTCTTCTCATTCTGCGTGTTGTGTCTGAAGGGAACTCCTGCTCCAGTTGTTGATTTAGTTCTTAGTTCAAAGCTATACCCACCATCCATCATCTTCAAGGTCGTCATGTGTGTAATTTGTTGCCTCCTGCCAATTCCATTCCTGATGCTGTGGTGTATAGACAGTTGTAGCTATCTCCATTTTATTATTAAGTGCGCCATAGAGAAATGGTGTAGAAAAGAACATTGTTGCATGTAAATTGTGAACAAGTTCTTGCATTTGCTTTCATTTTTTACGATTTTATTCAAGAAAAATTTCTCCTACAGATCTTTACATATCACTAAGAAGAGAAGAACATGGAAACTGGAGAGATATAAATATTGATTCATCCCGTGTTACAAAATTGCTCTTTTTGGTGCTTAAATGATATTCTGTGTCGTATGGTTTTGAACATTATATCTTTCTGTTTTATTATGTGGAACATATGCAATGAGAAGTGAGGATACCCAACCACCTTCACTATCATTGGATAATGAGCAAAAACATGCACTACCATCTGATCTTTTTGCATGCGTTTCTATTTTCTCATATTGGGATGTGTTTTTCTCAGTTTTCCATCTACATTTTTCTGTTTAAAATCTTTGTTTGGACTTTGAAGTCCCTGCAATTTGTGATGCAAATTTTCCATTACTCACTCATTCTAACCCTTAAAGTTGCATGTCAGAGTTCTATCAAAGGGAAAGAGTTCATTTGGTGGTTGTACTTCTATAAACAACTGCAGGGGATTGGGAATTAGGGAACATAATAGCAAAACAAGAATACTTCCTCTAACTACCTATCTCTTATGTTGGTAAGGTGATAAACAAGAATACTTCCTCTAACTAGTAGTCAAGAAGACTTTCCAGTAGTGTGGGGTTGCTTTCCTGGTTGTAATCTTCAATTGTAAGCCCGAAATTATGTTGCTCCATTTCTTTCATGGGTTTTCCCCTAATATTGGTTGATGATGAGTGTACATAGTCCACATAATAGAGTCCTTATCAATTGAGAATTGTTTGTCATGAGAAAGGTTTCACTTTCTGTGATGCATGTTCATAATGACCTATTTTCTTAGACATTGTATACTCCATAACTTGACAAGCATTTTCCTTTGGTATGAAGATTGATTGTGCATATATACCATGGAAGCAACTCTTATGTGGTCCTTATGGACTTTTGATATGGATTATGTTTTTTTTGTAATGATGTTGTTGTCTTTGTATACTAACTTAGGCGACTGATGTTTAGAGTTCCTTATTTTGTATTCTAACACAGGGTACTCCACGTCTTCACTTCTAGGGCCAACAAATATGGACAATCCATATGTCATCCCGCGCGCGTAGAGACCCGCCACAATATCTTAGTACTCTACTTCAAGGCGATACACCATAAGTGCACCACTTTCATACAAACATTAGAGCCTATAATGGGTTCTTCTTCTTTGTTTCACTTGGAGGTAAAGTCAATCACTCTAATAATGATGGTCGTGGCGTTTTTGTTTATTCAATTGGTGAATATTTAGTTCCTGGTGATGGAGATGATCCAAAATTTGCACAGTTGTACATTCATGATTCTGATAACGAGGTCCAAAATCATATGAACTTTTACTCCACTGACCCTGACAAGAATCCATTATATCAGTCTATTGTTGAAGGTCTCCAACATATGTTTGATGTTAATAATTTCCTGGTACGTACGTTTTATTCTGCACGATATAGGATACACCACTCTAGTGTTCAGGAACTTCAACTCAAGCTATTGGCTAAGCATGAAATTAATAATAGAGAATATGATTGCCTTTTGCAAGTGAGATTACAACATTGATTGTGGATGAAACAAGAGATGAATAATTTTCTCCAGATATTATTGTTCAACAAAAGGGTTCAAAAATGGAAAGAATCAGCCTATACCATCCCAGTCTAATGTCGTTACAATATTCAATTTTATTCTCGTATGGCGAGGATGAGTGGCATCCATGTATTAGCTATAGTCACAGTATCTTTAATATTGGTGTTGGGGATAAAATGATAACGCAATGTGATTTCTATACATATCGTCTCCAAACACGGCTTCAGGAGTTGAATTCCCTACTACTATCTGGAAAATTATTTCAACAATATGTGGTGAATGTATTTGTGTTAATTGAGGTTGAATGCTTAGACTGGATGCATTCCCCTCAATCCACGCTAAGAGGCCACTACTACAAGGATTTGTTAAATTCTTACTTGCGAGGGGATAGTGGTATCAAGCTTTATGGGAAGCCAATCATTTTAGGTGCATAACATACTGGTAGTTCAAGATACAAGTATGAAAATTTTCAAGATGTGATGACTATTTGCAAATGGTTGGGTTATCCTGAGTTGTTTATAACATTCACATGCAATTCTAACTAGCTTGAGATTCAGCTAATGGTTGATTTGATTAGAATGTACACTGGCAAA